CACCACCCAGAAGTGGCAAATTCTGGTGGGTTCAGATGGGTGAAGATGAAAGCCGTATCACAAAAATATTCGAAGCAAACCTTGGGCATCAGAAGGATATCGATGACTTCCTTGCGGAAGCACACAATACTGCGAATATGACAGTGTCTGTTCTCGACATGAAGCTGTTCGAGGACCGCGGATCAGACCAACCTCTGGATCGGGGAGGCTCTATGAGTGAGGTGATGGGCGGCATTGACAAATCTGCTCCACTGGTTGTCAAATATCCAGCACCGCAACCATCACAAGCCACCAGCCAATATTTTCATTTTGCTTGTTTCCCTCTGTTAGTTTAGGTTGACTCCCTGCTTAACCCCACGACTTAGTCCCCTTAAGCCATAAGTAGTTCACTTTAGGAGATGTGGTTCGTCGCTACGGTTCCTTGCTAGGATTTTGTTGATGGGTTCGGTGCTTTCCATTACAGAATAGTTGCTGAATTTGTGAGTGTTTTGGGCGCTAGTGTTAGCCACAGGAGAAGCTGCGGAAAGTGACTGGAGTATACTGGTCTACATGGGCAGACGTGCAATTGGTTGAGATGAGCACATTCCGCTGCCGAGAAGATTGTCGCGCGCATTTGCCCGCGATCCCACGGAGTGACGCAAATCGTTTTGGTTCTGAAGTGGACATGTGAAGGCTCATCATCACGGCCCATCAGTTCTTCTCATCACGTGCGAGACAGACGTAACATTCTTGGTGGCGAAGGCGGACAAATCGCGCACATTCTGCCACACAGTGCAAATTGGGCAGAAGTGTGGCAGCCCGCTTTGGCCACACTTTTTCCAGATGATCCAAAGCAAGATCAAAGAAATAAGCGGCAAAGAACACACTTGCCGTTCTAGCTACTTGCCCCCGATGTGGTCAAAACATTTGAACAAACCACCGCGTTTGAAACCAGAAGCCGCATAGTTATACTGTAATTATACATAAGCTTCAGCGCTACCGAAACTCCCAACCCTCGCCTGCTTGACGAGTGCGAGTGCTGAAAACATCATACATAAGCAGTACTATAATATAATTGCATTAGAGTCATAACCCTTAACCCTAACCCTGAACCAAATTCTAAAAGGAACCCCTTGCTCATTTTGGGATATGGCAGTTGGATAGGGGTGTTGGAGTATTCCTAAGATTGTATTCTAAGGTTGGGATTTATCGCCCCGGTGCTTGGCTTCGGAGGTAATTGTGTCTCATCACTTTTTTTGGTGTTACTTCCACGTCGGGTTCTTGATTTCTGGTTTGGTATACTGGTATACAATCATGCACGTCCTGGGACCCGGGAAGTTGTCTCGATGTGTTCGTGGCTTTCTTGCAGACCTCGCAGGCCTCCCGACCCTCGGCGGCTCAGCGTGCCCCGAGAACGCCGAGGGCCAACCGCGCTTCTCTGTCAGCGGCCGATCCTGCGACGTGCCAGGAGCCAGCGAGAGACTGAGGAGTGAGCAAGCACCTGACCCTGGCGATCGGCCCAAGCCCAAGGCCCCTTCCCCACCTCTCTCTGTGCCTCTCTGGGATGCTTGAAAAGAGAGTGGGGTCAACCATGTTCCTGGCATTTCGTCCCAATTTGCGTTGTTTCAGGAGCCGGAATCTGGCAGATTGCAAACATAACACGGCCAGCCTTTGCCAGAGGTGGGATCCTGCAGCGTGCGCAGTGCCTAAACGAGTGCTCTGACATCTGCCCAAAGTCGTTGTGAATTCGTGGCCGAAGCCAAGAGGCCTCGAAGAAACTGCCCGCTGCCCTGCGAATCTGGCGGATCTGAAGCTCCTTGGCTGGGAGAATCGGAGAATCTCATCCTACGGGTGAGGGCCAAAGCCCTAAACTTCGTACCACATGCCTCGACTGACTGGATTGTCCGAGTGTGAGCGACGAAGCTTCGTGGTCTTAGTGGGAACGACTTTGGAAGACTCTCAGGACCGCTGATGCTTGCAAGACAGCGGCGGAGTACCTGGGGCCGGGCCTCTGGGAGGGTCTGAGAGTCTGGGCATAGCGCCGCGCTTGTTCGGATGATGTCGGGATTTTTCGTTCTGCTGGGTACGAGATCTGATAGCATGCGCAGGCCAACACTGGGGAAACAGCTGCATCCGCGATTCAGCGAGCATGTTGAGAGATCGCGAATTGCAAAATCAAAGCTAGCACATGTTGCACCGTCCGTGGACGGACAACGCTCTTTTGCTGCTGAAGCCAGCAACCCTGAGAGTCTTCTGCAGAGACTCGTCGAACCAGGGCCATCTACAACGATGAAGAACAGGACCCTGACTGGCCTCAGGGCTGCTACGAGATTTCAATGGGCCACTTGGCTTACAGACGAGATTCAACACTGCGTCTGCTTTGGCTTGGCCGATCCCGCGCCAGGACTCTTCCAAGGCGTCTACTTCAACAGTGGGTCAAACGGCTCAGCCGTGGCAGGAACGCGCCCGCTTTGCGAGACTTTGCCGCAGCTTGGACAGCAACGGGAGAGCCGGGCCGGGGTTCGTGTTGCCGAGGGCTGGCAACGCGCTTCCTTTTCGCCTCCATGGAGAGTCCCGAGGCTCTAATAAACATTCTAAATACTAATGACAATGTCTGGAGTGAGCAATGCATGACTGACGAGTGGCTTCGTGCCCAACTTGTAATTGCGATTGATTCCTGTCCGAGTTGTGAGAGTGTAATTAATGAGAATAACCGTCCTTTGGAGTGTCGATTGTCCTATGCAGTCATGGCATTTTGCCATATAGGATCGTGGACCACAATATTCATGAACACTTGCAACTTTGTGCTGAAGTCCTTGCTTGGTGCGAAACTGGCACGCTGATGACTCTGCTAACATAGTGGAGCTGAGCATGTTTTCTTGGCATGCGGCATACTATTGCCTGAATTTACTTGGATGATCTCATAACCTTGCTTCGCGACTCGCTCAGCCGCCTCAGCCATGCAGGAGGCAAAAAACTTGTACTTAGTCAGCTGTGACTACGAAAAGACAGCGCAAGACTTCGAGGCTCAAGGCGCCAGTCGTGGGCGGAGGCTGCCCGGAAAAGTATTCGCAGACGAAGACAGGCGGGGCCCAGTGCAGTCAACGCATGAAGTGACTTCAAATGAGTTTTATTGCAAGCGCGATGCGTCAGGAACTTGCACACTTGCATTGCCATTTGTCACAGCGGCGAAAGGAAGCAATGCTTCTTGGCAAGATACTTCATTGATGGAACTTAACGGTTCTCTAAACTCTGCCATGCGCCAGTCAGCCAGGCGCCAGGGATACAAGTGCTCCTTCGGAGTGAGAGTGCACGCATTTAATTCAAATCAGCATTACACACTAAAGCCCGCTGAAGTGAGACTGCGAAACCGAGAGGCCTCGTCGGGTAGAGTCCCAGTTGCAAGAGCAGTACTTGGTGACGCCTTGACCTGCCTTGCGCGAGTTGCGATCAGAGAAAGCCCGGTAGATTGAGGCATGCCCATTGAACACCGGGCACATCGACAGAGCCATGACATGCCGGAGTGCTGCGGACCTCTTGGGACTGACCTGGGAGGGCTCAGATGCTCGTTTGGATTTGGATGATCAGCCGTAGCAACAAGTGACGCAAACAATAAGCAAACCTAGATACTGGGGCTAATAGTTTTCCCATTCTAGCATTTTGCTCCATAGCTGAGGTCACGAGTCCAGATTCACCCACGGGTTGTTCCGTGCAGGACGACCAGGCGGGAGGGTAGACAAGGAGCCAGAGGTACAAATACGAGAAGACTTTGCAGAAAGGGCTTGCGGCAGACCAAGGCTTTTGGGTTCAGTCTGACAGTAATAAGGATTGCACCCTACCCTTGATAAGACTTTCAACCCACGGAAAGCCATGTTCAAGGCCTTCACTGATCAGCTGCACCTGCCATCACGCAGTGCTGTGTCATTCGATGTTGCCGAAAGAGTGATAGCCTCTCTTCTTGGAAGTCCTGCCTGCTGAGCCTCGTGGTTTCCTTGCGCTTGGGACTAAGATCTGTAGCAGGTCACTTTCAACGGCGAGGAGGGCACGGCGAATAGCCTGGCAGCATCTGAGCTTCATTTTGTCTTGAGAGATTGTAGTTCGTATCCTTGGCCGGAGCTTGCTTTTCGCAGCAAGATGAAGCACCCACGTTGCAGTGCAATCTGCCCGTCCCCTTTCCAGTGGGGGCATTGCCTGAGGCCCCCATCTGCAAGCAGGAATTCTCCTACAGCATGTTTGACCCACGCGTCCAGTACTACATTCAGCTGATGCGCTTTTCTCAGAGTGGCGATGCAGCTCCTCGTCTGCCTGGACTGGGGTTTGAAGGTGCCAGTTCTTCGCGTACGATGTAGGAGCCGTTCTGCTGTGCTTGGTGAAGCCACCTCTCTCCCAGGCACTTTTCAAAGCCGTGGCAACGGATTCCTCGAGCGACTACTGCTATCTCGCTTATGGCCGATCGATGTGCCAAGACTTGGCCAGGCAGGATCCAGGTAAAGCGATCATGAACGCGGACAGCTTCGGTTACTATGTCATTGATGCCGGCAGTCCGGCGACTCATCTTGTCCAAAGTGGAGAAGACGATGCCTAGCTATGTTGGCATCGCAGCCGCCTTCTTTTACACAAACATCACCCGGTGGTCAAGCATGATCCCAAGTCTAATTCGGGGGACCGCCGCAAGAGTCGGATGTTCTCGACCCAGGCAACCGAAGCAAGAGTTCAGAGAAAGGTCGCTTCCAGTTTCTCGTGCGACTCAAGGTCAGGCTGTCTTGGCTTGCGTAGTTTCGTTCTTACCAACCTGGACTCAAATGATGGGATGTGTAACAACCATGGCCAGGAAGGCATCGTATGGGAATGCATGGAATCTCGCAGTCAGTGCAGGGCCCTATACATTTGCTGAATCCCAGGAAAAGCGAGCCAGTCAAAGAACTAGCCCGCACCCAGCTACGCTAGCTCTCAGCATGACTCAGTACAGGCAGATGTGCAGCATAGTACGAGCGGCAACCCACAGCACGCTCCTATGCCGGATGGTGGACTTCTGTCAGCAAGATGTCCAAACTGCTCAAAGCAAGCTGGACCAAATCAGGTGTGTGCCCCCGGCTGCACTGGACCAAGTCAGATCCTAGCATAAAGCCAAAACGTCCTGAAACAGCGGTGTGTAGAGATCTGAGCGTGCAAAAGCCACCCAAGCCATGCCGAAGTGAGGTCTGTCTGGTCGGTGACCGGGGTCACGGCAAGAGCACACTTGTGGACCTCCTCCGCCCGCGGAGCCTCAGGGCCACCGAGGACCGAAGGATTCTGAAAGCACCGAAGGAGGCTTGTCTCTACTTCTCTTCCCATGACGTCTAGTCTCGTTGAACTTCTTGTGATTATTCGTTGGACTGTTACACTCTTGTTCTTTATCCCATTGCTCTCAGTTCAGATGGTCATGGCTTCGCCGCTTCGCCTCGTCTCAGGAGTCCGAGGCTCTGAGGTATCCGAGCCTGTCGACCTCGGAGGCAGAGATCGCTTGAATTTTGGGGTTTCGCCGAGTTCCTCATGTCGAAGTCACAGAGGTTTCTCCCACAGTGCAGCTGGAAGTGCAGACCCTCCTCTTCGCGGGGAAGGAGCTCGAGAGACGCGTTGGGAGATGTGAGAGAGCTGAGAAGAAATTCCTTCCCCTAGACTCTAGACCCCTTGCAGGGAAGCAAAGAACCACAACGTGAGCACAAGAGTGAATGGGAGGAGGATGCCAAAGAGCCGGACATACTCGGCCGCCGGCAGTCGGTGGGAGCCTCCCTGTGTTCAGCATCCACATCTGCGGCTTCTGAGACTGTCTCCATCCCAGCCAAGGCCGACAAGACGCAGAAGGTGCTGACCCAGCCGCTGTCCCCCACGTGCTCTGGTAGCAGCTCCAATCCTAGAGAGTGAACCTAGGGACCTAGGCCCACCTGATAACGAGTCAGGAAGCAGAAGACCTTGGAGTTGGAGGTGCAATCTGCCGCTGAGCTGAAGATGAAAAACCCGAGGATGGCCCCCAAAACGAAGTCAGCTGCACCAGCCTAAGGTGGTTCGTGCCCATCGGGTCATCCGTGCATTGAAGAACAAGAAGAGTCTCAAGGAAAGCAGGTCTGAAGGCTCGGACGCCTGCCTCCATGCCATGAAAGAACTCTTCTCCGTGTCTCAGCTTCGCAGGACCGAAGCCCGAAACTCAGTTGGCACTGCTGTTCTCTTGCGCCCGGGCGGGGTCTTCGACAAATTCATAATGCGGCCCTTATTTCCGTATGCTTTCACATGCGCACAATGGCAGTGAGACACGATGAGCAGCCATTGGCGAGTCTCGGATGAGCTTCATGTCACCAAGTCAATCGCTCGCGATTGCAAGGCTTCGCGAGATATATTCAATGGCCAGTGAACCTCTCCGCCCNNCCCCCCCCCCCCCCCCCCCCACCAAGCTTGGTTCTAGAGGCATTAAGATCCAAAGGCTCATTGACGGACAAAGTCTCAAGAACTCCTCGACAGACGCGAGTCAGAGGCTCCACGTTGCAACTGTGACACGAAAGCCGGGCTCAACGAAATTCTGAATCATGCGGAGAAGATGTTCCAAATTATGCTTTTGATGTTTCCTTGAGGCGGGCAGGCTCTGGAGCATCATCGGGGCCGGGCCGAGTTCGCAGCTCGCAACTACATGGCGGTGAGGTGCCACACTGAAAAAAAGCTCTGCCTTCGCAATTCGAAGATTGGTTGGCGAGCAGGTTCAATTGCAAAAGGCTCGGAAGTTAGTCTTGTGGAAAGCCATCCCAACGGATCGAAGCTGCGTTAAGCATACGACGTCTACCAAACCAATAGAATGAAGATCTTGGGTGGCAGGATCTTGCAAGTAGATCGCATGCAGCTCTTCCACGGTAGGTTGGTAGGTGGACGTTTCTGCCTTTTCTCTGCAGGGCTCTGCGGGGCTCAGTGCCCTCGCCCGAGCCTCGCGCATCTTCAAGCCACCTGGCAAGTGTTCACATGGATCTCTGATGGGCATGACTTATACTTCCAGTGTGCGGAATCCTAAGAGCAATTCACCAGAGGAAGTCCTTGGACGGCAAGTTCCTGGGGACGCGCACAACCACGCTACCAAAAGGTATCGGACTGCGGCTGCAGGCAGAGTTTGATTGCATCTGCGTTGGCTTTCGGAAGACTTGCGTTTCCTTTGTACTGAGCTCTCGGAGCCCAAGAGCCTATGTGCAGGCAGATGCAGAAGACGAGCCGCTCGATTGCCTTGCTGCCCGAGCACGATCCTAAACAACATTCCCAAAGAAGCCCCGCAACGACGTGCAACGGTCTAGACAATGTTCAGGCCTGGTGGCATCTGTCTGAATTTTCTGCATTTCCTAGCTTCCTTGGGCGGAACCACGCCAAACATCGCCAAACAAGAAGCGTCAATGCGTACAACCATAAGGGGACCCTACAACGACTCAGTACTGTATACGTCACAATCAAAAATCCCCATTTTTCCGAAACGAAGGACCCTACCGTGCCAAAGGCCTTTGGAAGGGCTCGAGGCTTCGAGCTTGCTTGCTCGAAACCGAATAGACTAATAGAGTATCGCGTGGTTATCGAAAGTGCGAATCCGAGACCTCTGGACCAGCTCCAGGTCGCAAACTGACCTGGATCAGCTGAGCAACACGCTCGCTGAGCCTTTGTTGTGCTCCCGAGCTGCAGAGCAGGACTTGTCGCTTCCCCTGAAGGGGTCCCCCTGTTTTGTCCGTGTCTACTAGGCTACTTTATCGACACACCCGGCCAAAGCAGCCTTTTGGGTGAGGCACAGGCAGGGCGAGACCTGTGACAGCTTCTGCTGAGATTCTTTCTTGAAAACTTGCCACGGAGGCCGCCCTGCGTTTGGCAGACAGCGTGCTGCTGGCGGGGCCTTGCACACCAAATCTTGTGGTCCCATATGAAGTCTTAGCGGCCTCCGCCGGTCCTGCAGCCGCTGCATTCCGAAGACTGCTTCCTGCGTTTCATCCCGAGCGGTTCAAGCACTGAGTGGGCAGGTGGTGAACCCCGTGGAGGGGCTTTCGCTGCATGGCGAGGCCGGTCCAAGTCAGGGACCCGGGACCCATCTCTCGCCCTTGTTTGCCCTCGCATCAAGGCCCTGCTGCGCCGCGCCGCCGGAGAGCGTCTCCAGGCAAGCTCCCCAAGGTGGAAGAAGAGGGCGGGTGGGTTGAATTTCTTCAGCCCGGGAGGTGGCCTTGGTCTTGAGTCACTTCGACAGCTGCTTGGACGGTCCGAATCTTGGAGACTTGCGACGGTGCCAGGCTTTACCAGGACCGGACACTTCCCATGCCATGAAGCTGCAGGCCGCTACGATGCCAAGCAGCTCGAGGATGCGATGCACTCCGTCGTGGACCAGGCCATCGCCGCCCGTCCCGGTCCGTAGCACCACGCTTTGCCAGCTGTGCCCCCGAGGCGAACGCCGTCCTGGCCACGGCTGGGGACGAGGTGACTCGAGGCGAAGCTCGAGTCGCCCCGCTGCAGATTCCAAGCGTTCCTAGGGCCCAGGCCTTCTCTTTCCTTGCCCACTTCCGCCGCTGTTTTTTACGGGCTTCAGCCTTATTACTTATTATCGTACTTTCAGGGCCTTACTAACCCACACAAACACGCTGATATGCACGCATACATGCATACCCCACACAGATAGACAGATGGATGGATGGATCTAAGTAGAGACACGTTAGGAACATGCGGGTTTCTGGATATAGATATAGCTAAGATATGGATACACATACCGATGTGTAGATATGTGGGTATAGACAAAGTAATTTATAGGTACACAGGACAGACAGACACACACACACACACATATAAATATATACACATATATTATATGTATACATATATATATATATGGGTGTGTGCGCATATATATATATATAGAGAGAGAGAGATGTGTGTGCATGTATAGAAAGATAGACCGATCTCTGCGTGCGCACTCATGTGTACAATGCACACATAGGTGTAGACACGCACAGGTATATGGATGCGCACGCCTCTCTCTCTCTCTCTCCCGAGAGTCTTCGGAAATTAGGTTCCCGGCCTACAGACATTTAGATTAGGCGCTCTCTCTGTCTCTCTCTGTATGCTTTTGTTGCTGTTGGCTTGAAGCCGAGATCCGGCCGGAGCTCGGAGACCTGGTCTTCGGAAGCACCACGCAAGGTGAGAGGGAAGCTTTGAGGGCCATTCTTCAGAGTTTCCGAGAATAGAGACCCTAATATAGTACCCTAAATACTAGGATCCCTATTATAAGGACCCCAAAATAAGGTAGCTTTTGGATTTTTTTGGCTCAGTACTGCTTGGGTTCAGGGTCTTGGAAGGGGGCGGCGTCTGCAACAGATTCTGTCAGCGGCAGCGGCGACCAGAGGGTCAGCGGGAAGGAATTGTTGGTGGATGTGACTGACTGGGGCACTGTACCTCAGCAGGCTGGATGATTTCCTTGCCACTGCTGGCTCGGAACTTCAAGGACTGTGATTGTGTTAGCTTAGACCAGACGTTTTTCTCTTCACGAGCATTTGAGCGGGCCAATGCATGGGATGGCCCTGGAATCATGCTCAGGACAGGTACGGCCTGAAAACCACTGCGCCCACCTCAGGCTTGACATGCCGTTCATCGCCGCCTGTATCCACTAGGGCCTAACTAGGGTCTCGGGCGTATTTATGCTGCTGCAGCCCAAGTCTTTCCTGGGATCTTCACGCACTGTTTCTATCCAAAGCTGTGATCAACCCGTGGCCAAGTTTCACCTGATTGCTTGCTGTGGATTTCTCTCCAGGATCTCCAGCGCCTGGCATTTGTGAGTCCCCCCGGATTTTCATTGCTAGTATCACCATTCAGTACTGATCAGCCTACAGGCCAGGGCGCGACAGCCCGGGAATAGGATCAGATCTCCGGCCGTGCCAGATGATTCATCGTCACCTGAGTCAGTCTTTGAACAGTGTAATACTGGTACCGCCTGTAAGGCTTTGCATGAGTTGCGAGCCCAGGTGCTTAGCCGTCGGCTTTGGTGTGCAGGCCGTCGGGCAGGTGTGCAGGCGAGAGGGGCATGGGCACGCATGGCAACCCCCCGGATTTCCTTCTTTAGATCCCGTCGGAGTGTGTGTCAGGACACGGTCGACTATGAGGAAGAAGAGGAGTGGATGGGGTAGAGTTCTAAGAGTTTAAGTGACATTTGTGAAGCACTGCGGGCTGCACGGCAATCAAAGCTGGCCTTCCAGGAGCCTTTGCTGCGGCAGTTGGTACTAGAGCCACTGCTGCAGCTTTGCGCAGCCTTTCGCCGTCAGGCACCAGCGCGAGTCCGTTTCCAGGAAAAAGACGATGCTGCCTCGGAAGGACTGGGAGCTCGCCCGCAGCATGCTTGAAGGGCTGAGGCTTCCAGCCCTTGGCTACGGGGAGTCTCGGCTTGGCGAAGAGCTGCCGAATTTCGATTAGGGTCTCGGTCAGCGCAAGCCGACTTCAGGAAAAATATCTGGCATACCACTCGCTGGTCACAAAGATCATGAAGCGATTGGCAGATGGAGATGCCAGCCAGGCCGGCTTGGCTTCCACATTTCGGAGTGCAAACAAGCTTGCGCTGCGAGGTGATGTGTCAGCTGCTAGCTCACCGGCTTCCTTCTCCGCGCCAGGACGAAACAGACAAGAGTCTTTGAAATGCTTCGGTGCCATGTATGCGCAGGCTCAGGGCGCCGGACGTGCTCAGCATCTCTTCCTCGGAACGCCCGAAGGGGAGGCCGCGACTGCGCTGCTCCCTGGCAGCAATGGTGGAGGCTGCCTGAGAGCACCTCTAGCACTCTAGAATGCTTTCAAAAGAAAGTCGGCCATGGCCCTGCTGAAACCCGCTCCGTCCGACTTGTAGCTGTCATCACAGGTGGCACGTCCAAGCCCAATGTTTTCAGTTCATTACAGCTGCTTGTGTTACTTGAAAAGAAGCTGGGCGGGTGCGCCCATCGCCGAGACCTCCTGGCTTTCGGCCCACCTCGCCCCGTTTGCCTTTTCCCTGCACCGAGGTGCAACTGCTCGCCTCAGGGGCCACTCATCTTGGCCGTCGCGCGCCGCATTCCTGCGGCCACGGTCAAGGGCAGATCCTACATGCTGGGCCGGGTATTCTGTGGCTGTGCAAGCCGGTGCCAGCGTGTGAGGTGCACGGAAAGCGATGGGATGGGGACCAAGGGGTTGGGCAGCGCGACAATCGAGCAGCTGGCGATGCCTCTTTCCTGCTTCGCTGAGCCTGTGGAGATGGTTCCAGCAGGAAACCTGGTACTTGTGACGGGCCCTGACCACCTCATCTTCAAGACCGGGACTTTGCTGGATGAAAGCCTTCCAAGCGATTCCGGTTTGGCCATGGCACCGCAGCTGCGCCCCTTAGTGCGAGTCTCGGTTCGGCCGAAACGCGCAGAGGACCTGCCCAAGCTGGTGAGAGCCCTGCGACAGCTCAGCGCCTGTGATCCTGCGGCGCGCTGCCGCGCGGAAGAGTGGGGCGAGCATGTCATCAGCGGTCTCGGGGAGCTTCACCTCAGCACGTGCATCAGGGAGTTGGCAGCAGAACTTGCTGAAGAGGCGGGTTTAAGTAATTCTTGACTCTTAAGCAGTGCTTGAGCGCCTGTGCTGTACCTTACTTTTTAGCTGCCTGCAGAGATGGCAATTACCGGGCCCTTTCTGAGGTCGAGCTCGTCTATGACAAGCCTGAGTACGTGACATCGCGGAGAGGATTGGGCGACTGGAGCTATGGTGTAGAGTACAAAGAGACTGTCCGCGCTGCCGGAGCCACCTCGGAGATCTTGGCGCCCAGCTTTCGGTGTTCTGCCGAAGCATTGCCACGCCCTCAGAAGATAAAAGCAGCTCTCTTTCTCATTGAACCTAATCTCTTCCTATCAGTTCTCCCTTGCCAGGAGCCTGGAAGAGGAACTTTGCCAGGAGCTCGATGAGGCGGCGAAGCTGAGAACAACAAAAGCACTCCTCTGCCCCAGAAGCCCTGCCAGGGGGGTCCACTTGTCCGAGCCCGAGCTCGTCAGCGGGCGCTAATGCTTGCCGATCGCTACAACTGGGCCTTCGAAGATAGTCAGAACCTCTGGGCTTGCGGCCCTGCCGATGGGTGCGGCGCCAATATCTTTGTTCGGGGTCGGAGCCTCAGACAGGGAGCTCAAGATACTCAAGTTGTTCGTCATGCGACCTTTCTTCAACTCCTTACAGAAAGCTGTATACTGTAATACTGTCATCTTGGGATGTTTGCCACGGTGGAGGGCTGCTGTCAGATGGGCTTCGGACTTATCTGTTGTGGTGCCGTGGGTGTCCTTCATAAGCCCCGCCTCACAGCTTCAGGCCGAGTAGGTAGCTAATGCTTCGGTCGTTGGACCAGTATTGCTTCAGACCTTGCCAGGCTTGTCCGAGCGTAAGTTTCAGCATGAAGCCCTCAGAGACCACATATCAACAAGGAAGCTGCAAATGCAGGTGACAGCGACTTGAGAGAGGCAGCTGGAGCCGCGATGGTTGGGGCCTGCCGCTGGGCCTCCGCCGAGGGTGCGATCTGTGAGGAGCCTCTGCGAGGCATCCGCTTCAACCTCGGCTTTACCTCGCCGCTTGCTTTTTAAGTTTCGATCGCCTCTTGCAATGTTGCAGTATAGGGTCACTGCACCTAGTCTAGAAAATGCGGAGCCAGCAAGCGATGTTGATGAGGCCACCAGGGCAGGGCAGCAACCAGGATCCAGCGAACGCCTCCGTTGCGGCCAGCTTTCGCTGGGCCCGAGACTGCAGCGCTCTCGCTCGACGCGTTCTGCTGGCATCCGCCTTGGACATGGCAGCTGAACCGGGCCTTCAGGAACCTTGGTCCCTGGCAGAGGTGATGCTGCCCGCGATGGCACCTGAGAAGGTCGCACACTTGTGGGGTCTGCTGTGTGGGGTCCGTGGCCTGGTTTTTGAGGCACACTGCGATCCGGATGAGGAAGGAAGGAGGGAGCAAAAGTGGTGTTTCGAGCTCCCCACCCTGGAGCTCGTCGCCCTTGAGCCTCGGCTCAATGAGGTTCTTGGCGGCTCCGTGGTGATCAAGGACTGCTTTCTCCGCTGGGTCACGCTTCCAGGGTCCTTCCTGGGCGAAGATTCGAAGAGCAGCTACCTCAAGAGCGTTGTGCTCGGCCTTCGCCGGTGGCGCCAATTGAGCCCAGCCATCCCCGGCCAGGAGGACATCCTTGCATCAACCTTGTAAGGCTTGAAAGCCGCCTATTTTAGAGATATCCCGACAGATGCGGGGCAATACGCGGACACGACAGCCAAGAGTGACCTGTTACATGTACATACAACCACCAGCCTGGAGCAGGCTGTCTTTAGTCTTTAGTACACTTCATAATGATTTTCCCACGTGAAGGTTTGCAAGAAGCAGCCGCAGTTTCACACGACCTGGACGAATGCTCCAGAAATCGCACGCAACAGCTTGAGTTCAGACAGTCGCCTTTGCAGCCCCGCAGAAGTTAACTATAACTTGCCCGGTCGGAAATTGAGAACGTCCAGTCCTCGAATCAGCAGCGAGATCGTAGCTACCAGCAGACAGTATGCTACAGTGCTCAGCAGCTTTGAACATCGGTGGCATGAACGCGATCCCATCTCCCAAATTCATGTTCGGGGTTGATCGACAGTACGAAGATCGAAGAGTTCGTGTCGTCGTAATTACGCAGATCTTGGATGCATGAGCAGCTGGATACCAGCAACGGCCGGCTGCCATGTGAGTGCCAGGACCGCTGGGTTTTTATGATTATGTTTGGGTTCGGGTGGGACTCGCAAGAAAGCCTTCCTGGCTTTGTTTTACTTCTTCCTCACTTTGCTTGGTGGGCTTCGGTCACTTGCGGGACACGTGTCGAATCCATTCGCTTTTGAGTTCCCGAGGACAGGGCGCAGTATGACTTTTACACTTGTCCCCACGGCTCGGTCGAAGAGGCCGTGGTTCGAGTACTGCAAACAAAGATCGCATTAATGCCTTGAGCGCTTCCTGCAGATGTTGAGGCTGTGCCCCATTCATCGGAGCTGAAAATTTCCATTGAAGAGAGAAGCGAAGGTGCCTTGTTTTCTCAGGTCAGCTATGTGCCCCTAAACCCCGCACCTAAACTCTCCCTACCCCTGAACTGCAAACCCTGTCGGTTCTGTTGGGTTGGATATAGTTAGCAGACATCCCCATTACCAAGACCGGTTTGATTTTTTACTAGGTTTCCTGATGCAAGAAGGGTTGAAGGTTGTAGCCATGATCTACTCATAGCGCAATATCTCTTATACCATTCTTTTGCCACAGCGCTGACGCTGTTTCTGGTTGCAACGGGTCAGCGTCTTCATTCGTATGACATTGCCGAGCAGCAAGGTTTCCTCTACAAATTTATCTAAACAATGGAATTCGAAAATCACATGGTTGACTTTCTCAAACTCCTTCATTGCATCACTGTCCTCTTTCTGATGGTGCGTTCTACACGCTTTCCTCTTCTTTCTGCATTGAATACAATTCGCAAATAGTTTATTGCCCTTACTGTATCCGAATTCCCCAACAGCCTCTCTACGGTGACACCTTGTGCATTTAACTTTTGAACATTCCATGGTACAAATTGCAAAAGACATTATCTCTTTAAGTCATTAGTCCGTTTATCATTGTATTTCTTCATTGCGTCCAGACATTCGCAACAAGTCACACCGTGTCCCCACCCGCTTTGGCATGATAATATCGCTGAACATATGTACTAAGTTCTTCCATGTTTTACATATAACACATGACCGATCACAATGAGGAGGATAATGCCCAGTCTTAAAATCCATGGTTATTCATATATATATATATAGACATATGTTCAATGTCATAGTATATCTCTTTAGAATATATTTCATAATTTCTGAATTATGAGAAGCATTCGTGCCAAACAAATTAACTACATGCTTATGATGTGGTGGTGTGTAGAATACTTAGGGGATACTGCAACGATGGGGTTCTGTCATACAGCGGTAGAAATAAATTCTATATCAGGGTGGGGAAGGTAGGGACTACTGACTTAAGTTATTTAAATTGTGAAGCCTCGCCTGCCTTGTCGAGAGTGAGTGCCAAAAAAATGTGAAGTTAAGTTGAGTGCAGATATCCCGAAAGTAGAACCTATAGACATACTCAAATTTATTTATAAGGAAAGCAAAAAGGAAATGATGCCAAATCTGCCTGCAAGGTTGTTATGTGTGGGTTCTTCAACTGGTGGTAAATCTGTTTTAGTACACAATCTAGTGCTGAAGATAAATCGTGGTTACTTTGAGAGAACATGTATATGTTTGTTTAGCCCTAGTGTTCATGTAGATGGCACATGGAGGGCAGTCAAGAAATGCATTACTGATATAATGAAAGTGGATACAGAAACGGAGAAAGTATATTCTGAAGAGTACGATCCAATTGCCTTAAAGCACACAATGGAAACACAACCCAACGCAATGGACTTCCAGAAGAAGAACAAACAGAAGGATTATTTAGCACTTTAACAGCACTTGCTATAGTGTTACAAACCCCATCAACCTAGCGTGGGTGCAACTCAACAAGCATTACCTCGTGCGGTTCAGCAACCAGCACCACAGCCAAATGTTCAACAAGGTGGATCCACGTTATCCTCAGCAAGTGCTAAGTTTCAATCCCACAAGGTTCTTCAAAACAAACGGAACAAGAAGAGCAAACACAAAGAAGACCACGAACCAGACTTAGTAAAAAGACAGACCTAAAAGAAAGTACACCACGAGGAGAACTAAACATGAGACCCATGATCATGCCAAGTAAGATTGGAATACAACAATTAAGAGAAGCGTTTGAGGAAGCAAACAGCAAAATTGCAATAAATACAACGACGTATAGATTAAACAGAAGTATGTATGTATATATATATATATTTTTTTTTGGTAAATGGTTTTCATCCGCAGGTGTTCTTGCAGGGAAATGCAAGCCGTAAAGGAACTACACGCATCATACAGGGATGCCGTGTTGAATAGATCAAACTATCTAAGATACACCAAAGCCAAATATAGTTTTTCAATCATTTAATAAGAAAGATCAAAAATATGATGCAGTTCTTGATGGCAAGAAAACCTTTTCATTCGGACAATCTCGAGCAAGTGATTTTACAATCCACAAAAAATGAAGATAGAAAAGTTCGTTATATAACAAGACATAATGAAAGTTGGAAGGATCACGAAACAACATGTTTGTATGCTGAAAACATACTGTGAAGCATCGGTAAGGGTTCCAACTACACATTTCCCTAATCTAAATATCAAGCCCCAAAAGGATGAAACAAACATAAAACTAACGATTTTTGTGTAGCACTTGTATTGCATCCACGACGCCAAGCCTCACAATTGTCTATGCGGTGCTGCTGTTCGTCGTCTAATCTTTGGGCAGTCATGTTACTCGGTTCTTAAATTGAGATTCAAACCGACAACCATAATTACAACATGTGCTCGCCATCCGTTTCACAAACCACTCGTGATTAACAAATTTGTCAATATCTTTACCTCTATCATCAGTATCATCTTGTATCTGGCAATTCTTCGGTTTTAGTTGTTATAATTTCTTTATTGAAGTTTCTTCGGCTGATTCGTTCTGGTTGGCCACACTTTTGAAGAACCTTACCATGTTAAAGCCTGTGCTTGTGGTAGTAAGGGCACATCATATCCATTCACGAGTTGCTAGGTGTTTCTTATCTCACTCATGTATTATGATCTGGCTGTCTATGGAAGCACCCTGTGCTGAGTGGCATGTTGCGCAGTAGTCATACTTAAAGTGCCTTCTAGTGTGTACATGTCAGAAGTGAAACGCTCCTTATGTTTAATGTTCCCTAAGATCTCTCTAGCCCGTGGACAGCATCCTGTGTTTGCATCGTCTCCTAAACACATTCTATGAGAGAGCCGTGGTCCGCTTAAAAAGGATGGTAACTCAACTCTAGGGCAATTTCCGTTGAGTAGTTCTATACTTGTATTGGTAATGGGGAGTTAGTAGTGACATAGCGGGTGAGATGTAGGGGGAGTGTATGAATCATCCTCGATTATGGATGAAGTAATTGGTATTTCTATACTGGTTTGGGTAATGGGGAAGCCATAGTGATATTTGGGGGTATTGTAGTAGGGAGTATAGGAATAATCCTCTTATGTGGATGAGGTAGTCGGTTATTCCTCTACTTGTATTGGTAATGGGGAGTTAGTGAGATTCAGCGGGGAGTATAGGAATAAACTTCTAATGGATTGACTGGTGGTATTATTACCCAACATGGGCACGAGTTCTGCTAGCTGATATTTGGGGTTGCTGTTTCCGATGGTTTTGTGAACGTGGTGCAATTGATGGCAAGTGGGTCGCACGATGTACAAGTTTTCTTGCAAGATACTTGCAGAGTCTGGTGTAAGTGTTGTTATGCTGCCGGATCTTATGGAGCCTTTAGCGTCGGTCCTCCCAGAGGCAGCACTGGTACTTGATCGGTTCTCATGGCAACATGTGTGTAGGCTGTGCTGCTGAACTTGATGGTGAGCGCAACCTGAGCAAACCCAAAGCCGGAGCTCGAGCCGACGAGGCCTGCGAGTCTCCGCCCTGCTGGCCCGCTTGAGCCGCCTCTTCTCGTCGTGCTCGGGGTTCATCTGAATCTAGACATGAGGCTTCATCTTCTCGCTGTTAGGTCTTGTTAGGTCTTGTTCTGGTTGCTGTTCTTGTCCTCCTCCTCCTTGCGGTTGGGCTTGTAACGCGGTCGTGACTGTTACCTTGAGCCCTTGTCCGGTGTTCTGCTTGCCACCATGACAGCATGCGCGGCCTTCCTTTTCTCTGCGCATCGGTTACTTGCTTGAAATAGACTATCACGACATTGCATGACTAGGTTGCCGGCTTGAAGCCACTGAGCCTGATGCCACCAAGAAGGCTCCAGCAGCTTCCCGTGTCCGGCAAAACATACTTAGATCGTGCGTGACCTGGGCAGAGAGTGAGAAGATTCAGCCTGGGAGCTTCCGCTGCCAGGCCAGTTCCCGTTCTGGGAGGTGTGGTGTCCGGATCTTGCATGGCAGCTCTTGGCGGGGGCCTTCGTGTTGCAAGTAGAGTCGAGCTGCTTCCAACAGCTCTTCTTTCAAGCCTCCTGCCCAGGGGTTGTGCTCAACATGCAGCGGGTGGGAAGAAGCATGCCAGAGCTTCGAGGCCAGTGACACCGGGCTTTGCATGTTTTGGGCAGTGCCACTTGCTCGCGCATGTCCTGCGAGATGCAGGTCCAGTGCTCGAGATCGGGGCGCTCGGCTGAGACTTCTTGCAGACTTCGCCCACTGTGACAGATGTTCGACTTAGGGGCACTGTCATTCTCCGTCGTCCAAAAACGCGGGTCAGGTAGGCATGCAGGTTGGCAGGTGCATATGCAGGTGCTTAAACGTGGTTGCACCTGCGAGGCGAGGTGCTTTGCAAATTACGTGAAGAGCCGGGAAAGATGAGTGAAACAGCTTCTGGGGATTCTGGTGGTGGCACGACCCACCGAATGTAAGCAAGACACGAAAAACGACATGACATGGAAGAGGCTCGTAATATAGTATCGGAAGCAGGGTAAACACGACGACCAGAGAAGTAACGAGGCACTTCATCCGGAAAAAGCTTTTGTGGATGAACTTCCGGAGCTCTGAGGCTGGGCGAGGGCTTCTAGGCTTCGCCGCAGCAGCCGCTCTCGGATGCTCTGGGATGGTCACAGACTTGGAGGATCTTCCCAGGGTTTTGTAGGACAGAGGGGCTCAAGGAGTTTGGGTTTTGTGGTGTGTAGGTGTCGGGGGTCAGAGGGCAACGGTGCAATTCTGCGGCTCGTGCAGTGATTCGAGGAGGACGTGTGTGAAGCTTTGGGGAGGAGTCTCCGCGCGGTCGCCTCAGATAGGACTTCAGGGAACCATTGCGCACGGGCTTTGGGCATAGTGAGCTGCTCATAGTCAGGGGGGGTGGCTGTGCGATGCACCCAAGAAGATGCCAAAGCTATCTCGACCGTCCGTCCGCGCGGAGACCAGGCCACTGCCGAGCTGGGAAGTTGCCACGGCCCTGGTTCTGACCACGTGTAAGACCTCAAGATGTCAAAGGAAGAAGGCTAGCGCCAGCGAGATGTAAGCAGCGGTGCCGAAGGCTTGGATGTCCACGCAGAGGTCTTGGACTGGGCCGGGCTGCCTCGATCGGTGACCCAGCTCGATCGGCCCTCGCTCCCTTGCATCCAGGATGATGGCCTGGAAGAGGCCACCTCGTCCCAGCCTTACAAGAACCAGAGCTTTACACGCAGCAAGCTGCCCAGCTCACCAAAGCATCGAGACGTCATGGAATCCCAGCGGCTCAGAGAGCTGGGGCGGCTGATGAGGCGCTTGGCAGACCCCGATCCGGGCCTTCTTCTGGGAGCTGCCTGGAACCCAGCTTGGTACGGCCAAAGAACTGTGGGATGGGAAAACCTGTTGATAGCTTTCTGTGCTTATCTGGCTGGGACCTTGCTCACATTCAACTTCGAAGGTGCCCGCCCATGCGCTTGACACGGAAAATTGGGACGATCCTTTCGGAAACAACCCTTTGCATCCGGTTTGAAGCAGGCCAACGTCAGAACAGGATAGAGGATAATTAAAAACTCCCAGAGCAAGCCGAACTCAAGCAAACAACGTCTCATGCTGTTGCCCGTGAAGCTCTTCACGGTTCTAAGGATTTGTTGTGGGCAGATGATGCAGTCGAGTCCTTGTTCGAGGCTGTCCGTTGTGCCCCGTGAAAGGGGACTTGAGACTCAGAGGTCTCAGCTCGTCTCAGCTCGTCATTCGCTGCGAGTCCCTGCGAGGCCGTCGAGAAAGCGGTGGCAGACGGATGGGTACCATAGCTTGTTTCTGTAAGCTTGCCGTCTTTGCTGACTCGCGGAGCCAGACTTTCGTCTACGGTGCTTCGAGCCAGACTTTCGTCTACGGTGCTTCGGACCGCCCCTCCAATGACCTGCTGGCACGGCAACTTGCAGCCAGAGCCTCGGTGTGAGTCTCGTCTTGGTGGCCTGTCTCGGATAGAGCGTGAGCTGGGCTTGAGGAGATGAAAGGCACAAGCTTGGAAAGTTTCAGCTATCGCGTGGAGAAGGCCGGACTTTAAGAGAGAAAGATGGTCGATCCGAACCCAGCGTACCCATCTCCGGGTCGAGTGGTGCCGTGGTATGATCACAGTGTTTCCGTGAGCGGCGGCCCGGAACGCCCAAATGACAAGGGAGGTTCTCGTAAATTAGTCTAGGATGCCCCTTGTAACAGGCCCTTGTGAGGTTTGGCCTGTCAAACGATAAGAAGTAAAACTACTACGACGACTACTACTACTACTACTACTACTACTACTGCTACTACTACTACTACTCGTGCCAAGTGGGTGACAAAACTACTACTACTACTACTCCTGCTGCTGCTGCTGCTACTACTACTACTACTACTACTACTACTACCACTACTGATACGATTATTCTACTACTCATACGATTATTTGTGTTTGCACTGCTCCTACTCATTGCTGAAGCCACTGCTGCCGCTGCTGCTGCGATCCGCGGCTTCTGCTGCTACTACTACCGCTCTTGTTACTGCTCATGCTATTGCTATGTGCAAACTGAAGCTTGGAGACTTGCCAGCTTGCAAGTTGAAGGTGTTGGTAGCCTGTTCGGGACGTCTTGGGATACGTATGTGTAGACGGGTTGCAAGATGCTGCAAGCCACCATGAGCCCAGCCTGGCCCCGGTACTTGTCATACCTGAGAACCCTGGATGCCTGGTGAAACGATAAGGAGTAAAACACGATAACACAGTTTGGGGACAAGGGATTCATACCGTTTTTGTTGCAACCTCCAATGCCATATCCAGGTATGCCGTGAGTGCCACGGCTGGCAGACTGCCGAAGACTGCAGAGTCTTTGTCTGGCGAAACGCGGCAGGACAAAAAAGCCAACGGTTCCGGGTCTCAGTGGTCATCTGCTTCTCGAAGTCTGAATCCGTGCTAGAGCCAGAGTTCCTTCTGATTGCTGCACTCTGGGATGTCTTCCTGTTCAAGAGACGTGCTGCAATTGGTCGGCTTGGTGATGGTTTGGCCGACTTACAAGAGTCCGCATGACCCTCTAAGCTGTCGAGGCTTGGACCGATGCCCATCTCCATTCAAGGTCCTCGCCAAAGAGCTAGCTAGCTGCTAGCTAGGAAGATGCGTGCCGAGACCCGGGCGAAGCAGCGAATGAAAGCTGCAGGCGCCGCCATCCGGGGGTGCTCGAAAGCAGTGCCCTCAGAGACAGCCGCCAGGCCGGAGCTCCCAGAGCCTGCGAGATGAAAGCCCACCATCTCTCAAATCCGTGAAGGCCAGCAAGGGACCCCGGGCTGACCCCGAATGGTCTCAGAAAGCTCAGGCACAGCGCTCACTCTTCCTGGGGTCCCTCCTGCAGTTTCTGGAGCTCGAGTTTGAAATTGGATCGGTAGTCTGGCCAGAGGCGGGGAAAGCATCAGTGTCTCCGAAATCGCAGCGAATAAGTCCGTCCAACTCCTGTGCTGGGCCGGGGCATGGAAGTTGCATTGTGAATTTTAAACATGAAGCAGCTGACTGTGTATGAAGAGCATTGTCAGTCCTCACGACAAATGCATTATTCGCAACGGGGCCAGATGTGCGTAGATTTGTACATTTGTTAAGGTTGAGTGGAATGCTGAAATCCATCATGAAGTCATGAGCGGCGGTGTCCCGAGCAGGTCTTTAGTGCTTTGACCATGGCGGCTCCTTCCCTGTATGCCTTACACGCTGCGCCTGAGCTCGCTTCCAACGCAGTTTTCCCGGAAGGCAACTCTCAGTGGTATGGGTGGCAAGACTTGCTTTTTTTTGTTTTACTTCGCGCGAGGAGGACTAGTTACACTAGTTTCAACGCTGAAAGCGGCATTTGCGGTCACTTGAGCACTCAGATCCCTTGAAGGTGTCTGGGCGCTGGCGATCGGCACTGTGATGCACTGCCCCTTCAGCATGGCATACCACCTCGCCTCTGCCCTGATGGACAAGCACCTGAGCCAGACGTGCAATGAAACAGCAAATGCCGCAAATAAGAAGAGTGAGAACCTTCTAGAGGGAGTTTGACGGTTCGGGTGTTGCATGTCCAGATGCATGAAATCATTCCCCCGTGAAGCTTTGCAGCATAGCTTAGGCGCGATGGCTATGACCCCATGTGCACTCCGTTTCGCACAATGGACATCACAGCGATCCACATCAGCCGCTCCAACGCGATTGCAGAATCGTCTTCGTCTCGGGATTGAGCACACACTGATTGTGCAGGTTGACACGTATTCACTAACAAAAGCTACGGACACGCGGAAATGTTGTTGTCTGCCGAAGGAGGGGTCGGAGCTCTGTTGTTGCTCTTGCCTGTAGGCCGACAGACCGTGGGGTTGCAAGCTCTGCACGAACAATTGTCTAAGCTCCGGCACTTGAGGGCGCTTTCCGTCAGCCGGCTAGCTGTCACTGCGGGCGCAAAGTTAAAGAAGCGGCCATAGTTAGCGCTATAGCCATAGCTCCACAGCGCTCGAGATGCTGAAATCTGCTTCGTCATCATCAGTGCACATTAGGATCAAGATGCAGCCCCACACCATCTCTCACACCATGCATGCACCTTCCTGTCGTCCTGTCAGACTGCGTCTTGTTTGGCTGGGCCCTGAGCGGCGGCAGCCTGATCTTCACCCTCTTCATGGCAATGCTCAACGCGCCATGCGCGGACCCAAAGAGACCGGGACGACTCGTGAAGAGCAGCGGGCAGTTTAAGTGCTGTCTTTTTTGCTGAAAGCTTGTCAGACGTTCAGATGAGCAGTCTGTGTGCCTTCCGAGAAATTCGCCAACAGTTTGATGCTGCTCTCGCCGTCATGAACCCCGAGGCATCTTCATACTCCTTCGCCGCCTCGTGCAGGGAAGGCGCATGTCTGGTATCGCAAGCATCAGAAGCAGTCGCAGCATTACATGTCAAAATGTAGACATTGACAAAGCCCAAAGCCCGAATCGCGTCTGAGATCGTAAATCACATCGGCCCCAGAACCCTGAAGCCCGGCGCGAGTGTGCGAGTCGAAAGGAGCCTCAAGACCCTGCCTTCCATACCCTCATACTACCTTGAACCCGGCGTCAAGGCTCCATTGAAGCATTCCTTCTAAAGATGTCTTATGCACTTGAGAATAGCGCTTGTACGGTCGTCTTAGGATTTGGGCCATTCTTTCAAGTGTTTCATTCGAGTGTGAGCGCCGAAAGCCCGAACTCCCGAAGTCCAAGCCCCCTTACTCCTCTTCGCCAAGCCCCTGTCACGCTTTCAGTCAAACCTGACTTTCCTGGGTACCGGGCCCTACGAATGGTCGTAGGATTGTAGGTGCTAAAGGTGCTTACTTGACCAGTTTGCTCTGATACGAACATGCAGGAGCCTTGCGAACCGAGCTGTGCTCCTTTTGTTTTCTGCATGTCCGAAGGCAAGCTGTTGTTTTCGGCTGGATGCTGTCACCTTGAGACGACCATCATGAAACAGTCGAACCTACGGTCGCACTGTGCTAAAACACCGGTTTGCAGGCCCGGCGGCCTGGACGAGAACCTTCGCGTGACCTCTCAGGCACGCCAGAGCATTTGCTCACTTGCAGAAGTCCGGGACAAGAGGAGACGTTGAAGACACAGTTTGGAATACTGTGGACTGCTAGGGTCTAGAGTTAAAGCATGCTTAGAAAAGCTACAGATGACCGACACCCCGACGCTTCAACAGCATGGTTTCAATCCCTTTTTTCCCACTTTCCAAGCATGGCTCCTACACGTGCTTGCGTCTTCTTATCACACGTAGCGTTTTTCCGGAATGTTGAACGGCAAACTGCAGACTTCATTTTGAAAGGAAGCCCTCTCCATCCCTCCTTTATCCTTGCTCCTGCACATGCTACTGCGTCCTCTGCGGCATTCTTTGTGTAATATTACTGAGACTAGCTCTCGCATTCACGGAAAGTGTCTGCTGATTCCGGCCTTGCTGAGCAGACTCACGCGGCAGAACGGCCCGGATATCCATCGGCTTCGCGAGGTCTTTACATACACGCTCCCCTTGCTCTTTCGCGGCCTCTACTTCCACTATCTGGCCACCGTCTCGTTTGAGCCCCAATTGAGTAATATCGCTGTTGTGGCAAGAGCGTGCCGTGAATCTGGCAAAAGGATGTGGCTGGGTGCCTGCCTATTTTTCGCTTTGGCCAACTACTTCAGACTGGGAGGAGGACGTCACTACCCACACGTGCTAGGGCATGAGAAATAGCAGGCACTACAGAGGATGAGTCTGACGGAAAGCGCTGACCTGGAGGATGGAGCCACGGGTTTTTCCACCTCATGTGCTTCCCCTTTCTCCACTTCATGATGTCTGGCCTGGAGCTCGGTCCCAGAGCGAGGCATCCAAAGAACCTACCGGAATGTACTGAGGCGTGGCCAGCGCCTAGGCCCGAGACAAGGAGACGAGGAGAACTGCACGATGTTTGCATTCCTAGAGGCAGCTAAGCTGGCCTTTTTCTGGCGCGCGGCAGGGAGAGAGGTTTTCTGGTTTCGAAAGCGATGTTCTGTGAACATGTCGCGGCATCTGCAGTGGGCCAGCCTCATAGCATGTGACAGCCTGAAAAGGGCTGCAATGACTGTTTAACACTGTTTAACCAGATTTTCTGGAGGATCGCCTACCCGCTCATCCGTTCCATAGACTCGGACGATCTCACGTAGCACGCAAAGAAAGCATGCATTGGCACTGCGGGTGAGCGATGAAGTTGTGCTGAGGCTTATGTGGCTTGGGGCTCAAAGGCTCTTGGGATCTCTTGGGGGTTGGCGTTCACTGCGACCGTTGTCTTCGGCCATCTCGGCTGTGGAGTTGATGTTTCTCCCGGTAAGCGGGGAGAGTCAGTGGGGGGCGACGAAGCTTGTCGCCAGCATGGCATCCCGCTACCGTCGCCGGGGGCCATGACCAACGCATTCAGGAGGGATGGCTTGATTTCTTTGGCCCTAAACCCGAATGGGTCCTGAGGCGAGTCGCCATTCGCCGCGGTGGATGCCTACCTCGAAGCTCGGGGCCTGAACGTGGAAGGCCTGGGGCAGCCTGGGCTTGGGAAAGCCGTGATGCGACTCCGGGGCTTGGGACTGGGGGCTGGAGCGCCAATCTGCGTAAGCCAATTACAAAACGTGGGAGTCGGAGTCGTGGGCGGCCCCCGCGACACCCACGCACCCGCACAACGCCACGAAAGCACTGCCGGTGCAGCAGTGATAACCAGAATGCGGGAAGGATCCGGAACCAGGCCAGCGAGAGCTAGCGCGTGCATGGGGAGCGACTCCAGCCCTTGATGCTGGAGCCTCGCCTCTCGCCTCCGTCGCAGGGTCTCGAAGATCTAAAGGGGTATCTGGAGGCCTGAACAAGGGACGTCATCTCACCTGTAACCTCATGTGGCCTCAAAGAGTTGGCTCGAGCGCTGGCCCTGCCGCAAAAGGAGTCTCGAACGTGCCTGGATCAAGTCACACGAGTTGAGCTTCTGAAGTCACAAGACACAGCGAGACCTGATGTCAGGACCCGTTGCGAGCCCTGCGCCACAGAGCTTTCTGTTTGGTGCGAGCCATCGACAGAGTGCCAGTGCCCCAGCGTCTGAGTCTCTGCAGGGTTAGACTCGTGGACACTGCTCTCTACTCCACCAGCGGTGGTGTGCAGTGTTTCTTTTTCTTCGGCTGGCAGTTGAGCCAATCCGAGACCTGGACATTCCTGTAGTCGCTGCAGCAAAGAGCATGTCCAAGAACATGCTACAGATGTTCGGCAAACAAGAGGTAAGCTGGGGCCCTGAGGCAAAGGCCACCTAGCCGCAATCGCGACCTGTGAGCATACCAATGCCAATGCTCGAATTGGATTCCAGTAAGCGTGCGGTTTGATGGTGGCAAAGCCCGGAGCTTTGGTTGTACATTGAGGCTGCCTCGACGAGCGGCAATTCTCGCGTGGGACTCAGTCCAGGAAGCTATAGATTCGGCCTCGCATCTTCCTTGCGCAAACACAGCAACGGTTCTTCAGCACCGAGTAACTCAGCACGGGCCAAAAAGGGCTCCAACAAACACCAGCAGGTGGTTGTCAGGTCATTTTTTTGCAGAGGCCCCGCTTGGGCGGAAAGGAGGGGTGCCATGGTCGAGACCTATGCTACGTGCCCGGTGCTTGCTCGAAGTATCCTACAGTACCCAGCCAGGACCCCAAGGGCAGCAACGGGCATGCAACCCGAAAATGCAACAAGGCAAGAGACACTCGTTACATGGAGCAGCAGAGCAGAAGAAAGCCACAGTGTCGTGTGGCGGTGCGAACGCGGCGAGACATGGTGCGAGGGGGCATGACAGTTTGGGTACCGGACAAGGATGGTCTTGAAGCAGCAACAGGTTGCACATGCTAAAGTCAAACTTGTGTTGTTCACTGCAGATGTAGCCCTGCTTGGCAGCGGAGAGAGGTTTTTTCACAACAAGCACATGTACCCACCTCGTGAGCGCTTACCATAGTGTTGCCTGCTCTTCGACAACACATGTTTTCCTGCCCCGCCCTGCCGCCCTCCTTTTCAATGTCTCGTGGGCCTGGCGGCCAGGATCCAGGAAACGCCAAGCCGAAGATCCGGAGCCTCGGCGAGTCGCCACACCGCAGGCTCGGTACTTCCCCGCAAACAGGCACAATCGAGGCCTCACTTTCTCACAGAAGCAGACGGCCAAGCTTGGGTTAGAGCTGCTTCGCTTCAGAATCTGCAGCTGAATCAGGCAGCCAACTCATGGCCCATGTCTGCGGCCTGGCAGATGCCAGACGGACTCTTGTCGACAGCTGTCCCTGACATGGGCTTGAGTGCCCCAAGCGAGAATCCAAGGCCAGCTCTAAGCTGGATGCCGAACCCCATACATCCAGCACCTGCGCCCGCGCAATCGGCGGCTTTCGCCGGCCTCCAGCATTCCGCCACACCAGCCTTGAACCAGCCCGCCCACTACGATCTTCCAAAGGCAACCAGGCCGAAGGTCCATGGGACGCTGGATCCTCAGCCGCCCAGGCCCAGGGGTCCATGCACCTGAGCCTTTCTGCCCCAAGGCAAATTGAACTGCCCGACCTCTCACCGGAGCAGCAAATCGCCGTTGACGAGCCGCCAGCACCTCATCGCATGAAGTGAAAATGAGGGAAGGGCACCTGCTCATTAGCTACAGGCTTTGTTGTCACACGTGGGAGTCGTAAGTTCGTTCGAGCCTCAGGAAAACGTTCTGCCAAGGTTGGACTGCCCACTCCTTGTTCTGGCCGGCCCCGGCAGTGGCAAGACACACTTCCTGGCATGCCGCATCACACGCGCACTGTCGGCATCTCCGCCACAGGCCTGTCTAGCTCATGCAGCTCTGGTCGTGTGCTGTGCTGCCGCTCTGGTCCCCCTCTCCATACACCTTGCACCCCATGCTTTGCCACAAGGGCAGCGAGCAGCAAAGTGGAGAGCGACAGCGCATAAACATGGTCTCAGGTTTCTGACGCTCTGTCTTGGTACCAGGATAGCGCAAACGATGCCACCTTGCCACATGCACATGGCTGTAGTGCTGAACCCAGGTGGGCGGGCAGGGAGAAGCATGGCATGCTTGCAGAACAAGCGCAGCAACGACAGCAAGAGGAGTAACTAGCAATGCCGGCAGCGGCAACGGCAACGAACCACCATCACATGAGCACAAAACATTCCTTGTACACAAGCTTTCAGATTGCTGGGTCCGTTGCCGTGCCTGCCTCGCGTGCAAGCCTAAGACGACTCTGGCCAGGTGATCGTTGCCGTGACGTACACACGGAAGGCACAGCAGGGGCGTGCAAGCGCGGGTTGATTGCAGGAGATTGCAGGGAGTGGCCGGATGCGAAGCGACTTTGTCACGGTCTTCGTTTCTTCTTTGGGCCTGAACACGTCAGAATGTCCAAAAGGGCGTGGACACGACAAGGCTTCAACCCCCCCCCCCCCGCTATGAGTTCTTTAAGCCCTAAAGCAGAAGCCCCCACCACCCCAAAGGCCCCTAAAACCAAAACAACCAAAAATGGTGCAAAAGCGCAGCAGGCGGCCGCGGAGTTATCGCAGCGGGTTCGAAAGCTCGCAGGGCCGGCCGGCAGCAAGGTGCTCCCACAAGTGACTCAACCAATGACAACAGATGGATGTCTGTAGTTTTTTTGTGTGTGGGCACTGCCGTGCACTAGGTATGCATATACTTATTCGTACATACACGAATACATAGCTGCCGTAGGCTGTATGTAGATCACGCTTTGCTTTGCTTCTGTTTCGTCACAAGTTCTGTCATGCTATACATGTGTACAGACTATATTATATGATATGCCTTTTGTGGTAGGTCTGGATCAGCACTGTGCACGGGCTGGCGCTGAGGCCGGCAACCGACTGTTCAACGATCCGAAATGTTTCGGACGGTCAGTGCAAGATTTCCACGGTAGAACACTTCGGTGTACCAAACGTCAAAACCTATCAAAAGAATCCCTGCCACGCTCCCACGAGCTAATCTTGGAGGGTGATTGACTCAGCTTGTCCAACATTATACGCGAGTTGGGGCTGCGCAAGCTCGCCTTGCGGGCAGGCTCTTGCGCGAGGCTGGAGGCCTGGGTCAGCAATTTGGGACGGAGCCATGGTCTCTTCTCCCAGGGTCCTAGTGGTCCTAGTGTCGGCACATGCCCTATGGGCCGCATGCATGACATAACCGCTGCAAATGCTCGCTGACAGGCCGGAGGGGGTTGCCCGGCCGTGCAGCCTCAGATCAGGACGCAATGTTGCGGGTGAGCGCCCCATGCAGGGAAGTCGGTCGGACATGTCGGCTTGTCGCAGCCATGCAGAGCCAGAACGCGATGCCAGTTCTCCCCATCATATGCGAGGATCGCCGAGCTGCGGCACGAGTGGTGCTGGAGCAGCCAGAGCTAGTCCAATTCTTGCAGGCCCGGTGCTGAGCAAAGCTGAGAACCTCGTCTCACGATCTGTCTCACGAGTCTCTAGCTGGAAAACGTGGCAGGCCTTGCCAGACGCTGCCTTGGAGGATTTCCTTAGAACCACAGTCGGACATGTGGTGCAGACTCCGGTGCTCTCTGCCTGTTGGCTGTTGCTGGTTCCTGTTCGGCCCGTCCTGCTGTCGACTGCAGAGGTTGGATTGAAGCTTCACAAGTTGAATTCATTTGCTGCCCCCTACACCTACGAAAGACCCAGCTGGACAACAGTGACACCCCAGGCCTGACAGGACCCATGGAAGCAACGTGTATGATGCGTGGAGAAAGCGAGCCACCCAGGAGCAACACCTCACAGCAGAAAATCACCCCTCGACCGCGAACGCGTGCCGCATCGAAGCTTCTGTTGTGTATGTGTGTGGAAGATCCGACGCATACTGCAAGAGTGCAGATTACAACCACAACTGAGCGCTACACAAGAGGCGAGGTGGGAGGATGTGCCTGTGGTTTGACCAGCTGCGGCGCTCAAGGATCATGGTCGATTTGGACACTCCTTTGCCTCGCTTGGCGCAGGAGACTTGTGGCTCGGACGATGCCGCAGCCCCAGCCTCGGCCGGGCCTCGTGCCCCTCGGCGGCGCTGTGCGGTTCCGTGGCCATGGCCAGGGCACGAAGAAGGGCGATCCGGCAGCGAAGTTTTTGCGGGCCAGGGGCCCGGGCTTGGCGTCTGTGGGGCGCTCTTCGCATCTTTTGAGGGGAGCTGAAGTCCAGCCGAGGCGATGGAGCATGTCGGCCGCCAGAAGCGGGACGGAGCGACGGGCTCGATAACATGCCGTAGAGCTGTACCAAACGAGAAGCCGATGCCATGCTCCAGGTCGCTCTGGAAGAGCAACCTCTGCTGGCAAGCGCACACAAGAGCTTCGTGCAGGCAGTAGCAGTAAATGCGGATGAAGCACATGACTCAGCGATCGCGGTATCTATACATCTGCTGGATCTGAGATGAGTGTTACAAGTCACGTGGGCCTGCACCGAACAGGTTCATGTTGCGAGTACCCGCGTAGATGTCAGTCCTGCCCAAATCACGAGACACCATTCATCGCTGCCGAAAACTTGCTTATTTGCACTCCTCGCATGGCCAGGAACTCCGACGGCGACGATTGATGGACGTCTCAGAGGTGATAGGCTTGGCTTTGAGGCCATGAAGCATTCGTAACCCTCGCACGTTGTTCCACTTTGCATGTCACAGCTTGCTCGACGATGACGACCACGGATCTCCTGGACTCTGCTGGGCAGCGGCCTTTGGCGAGTTTCAAAGAGTCTCAGCGACATCCCGCCGGTGCCAAAGGCGGCGAACTTCGTGCACATGCTCTTCGTGGACGAGTGGCAGGTGCGTTGGCCACAGCCATTCTCGCGGTCCTTTGTGCAAAGCTCCCAACCTTGCAGGATACAGACAAAGAGCAGGCGCAATTCCTGGCCAAGCTTCTCGCTCATCGAACGACCGTGACAGCTGTAGGCCCGTGGGGAAGCTGTGCAAGCAAGCAGCCATAGCTGCAGCGGAACTGGCAGGAGACGACGACCAACGCATCTATGCTTGGCGCAGAGGTCAAACGAGCACCCCCGCAGAGGCATGCCTTGCAGACTGATAAATTCGGAGATCCTTAAGCCAAAGGGCGCGCCTGCGCTTTCGTTCCGACTTCTCGAAGCCAGGCCTTTCGTTCCCACTGGCCTCGAGCACAGCTCAAAACCTTGGGAGCCAACAAACGCTCGCTGTCGGCGCCCCGAAGAGCTTCGGTGCTCCTTGCGGGCTTCGTACAAGACTTGGAAGGCCCCACCTCGTCGAAGCCTCGAAGAAGCTGATCCTCCACAATCGTCAGCGTGAGGAGAAAGAGTTGTGGTCAGAGACCCGGCTCTTCGTAGCTGGGCACGTGTGGACCCGTGTGGGCCGTGTGGCGGATGTGAAAGCACGGAGCTGCAGGCCTGCGCGTCCGGCAACTACTGTCTCCGACGGGCCCACCGCACAGGCCTCGGAAAGTTGAAGGTTGATGTCAGTGCTTTTGGGGGTTCGCACATGTTCGCACGAATCCTCATGGTCTGCTGGACGATCCGCAGGATGCGCCTTGTAGGGTTTTTTCTCCCGTGTGGTACCGAAGGGGTAGAACAAGAATCCAAGAACTGTTCCAGGAAACAAAGTAGGCTTATGCCGCTACTTATGCCAGCAGTTGTTGTGAAGGTCCAAGCATTTGCCAAAGAGACATTATCGACTGAAGTTCGTTGGGCTGCGGAAGAACTTCGAAGATTGCGAGGCACGGGGCAGGAACAAGCACTGTTAGAGCCAACTGAGCTTTCCTATCCTTGTACAGAGGATGCCCCGCCTTGAATTTGCATTTCCATGCAGTGCTGCAACACAGAAAGGAGAAGGCACTTCGTGGGGCCTGGCACTCAACAGCGAAAAGCCACTCAAGACTAGATACAGGATGGATCAAGATCCGCTTGTGTAACCCTACGCAAACCTCGAAGTGCCAGCCTACGAAGTGTCCTTTCCACCGAGGTTCATTTGCGGTGCTGGCACGCACGAACGCTTCAGCCTCCTTCGCGGCCCAGGCAGCGTTTGGTCAGACCTAGTTCCTGATTGGCTCAAATCTGGTTCCAAAGCTGCAGTCCGGCATTTCAAGTCTTTTCGTGGTGTAGCAGATTACAGGCCGAAACTCCGCGTGTGGGTTACTGCCGTATAGGCCGCCCTCTCTCAGAAGCTTGTCGGAGGTGTTTGCCCAGATGAGCATTCCAACCTGGCAATCCACCGCGGCCACACGCAGCAGCAGCCAGCAGCCTCAAGGTTTCGTATGTGAACGGCAGATGCTCCCGAACCAGCGAACGCAAGGAACTTCAGGCGCAGCCCGTGCATCCGTCGTGCGTGAACCCAGCGAGCTATAGACGGGCTGAGCTTAACCCAATGAATCACCGCTCTCCCGCAAGAACCGCTTGAGGTGCTCGACTTGTTCGCGTACCTGAGGCTGGTCGTGGACCCGCACCATGATGTGCTACGAGCTGAGCGGGTGAAAGCTGACCGGGGCCGCCGAAATCTCGGCAAGTGGCTGGAGCCGACAGGGCGAAAGTGATGACAGTGCAGTTGAGGTCGTTCCTTCGTGTGTACAATGTTCCTCGTCGTGGTGTTGGCAAGGACACGAGAGCAGTGAGCCGTGAGCCCTGCGTTGAAGGCTCAGGGAACGGGACCAGTGTGCCGTGCGAGGCGGCCCTTCGTTGCCTGCGGGAGCAGTTCGGGGCTCCTGCTCGGCCTGCAGGAGGGGGGTCGGATCCCCAGTTGGAAGGCCTTATGCAATCAGATATGAGATCGCTGCACATGAGGGCTTCATCTCTGGATGGGGTTAGCGCCCTCAATCTGCAGGAGGTGCGGGGCAGTGTGTTTTGGCAGGCCTAGAATCAGAAGGTGGTACCCAGTGTGACCCGCTCTGCATGTTGCTGCTTTCTTAGCACTTTCTCTGCCTGTAGGTGGTGTCTCGTGCAGCAAGCCTTGCGGGGTCGACCAATGGCGGCCAGCACCTGAGTGAAAAAAGGGGGCGGTACTGCGTGCCACGAGCACGTTCACCATGTGTCATGATGCGAATGAGGCGCCCCTGGTGAACCATCCTCTGGATCCCTGGAGGGTGCGATGGGACGGCTCTTGAAGGACCGGAGCTTCAAAATGGCGCTCGTCCACAGGTGGGGTTGTATTCGCAGGCCCCGTGGCTGGGCTCCAACGCTAGATCTGCACAAGGCCCGCGCCCAAGCAATTCTCATACCCCACACCTAAACCCTAGGCAAGCTATGGCTTTGCAGCATGCTTGTCTGGGAACTGGTGTTTCAATTAATCGGGAGCTGCTTCCATGGACTGGGGTGCATTGAGACAAACCCCTGTGCGTGCGGCCTCAACTGCGTGGCATGATAAGGAGTTGGACCTGCAATTGAATGACCTGAGGGTATTTCTCTGAGGGAACGAGGCATTGTGGCCCTAGTGGGCTGCATGAAAACTTCAACATGACGACCCCTGCATGCAAGCACGGACACCGCATCGGTGTGCGAGGGTTGCAGCTAGTTCATACACCCCACTCCGGCCCTAACCCCCAACTCCTGTAGAGCCTAGGCCGTAAAGGCCCGGGACAATGAAGAAAACAAGTCAAATTACCAAGGGCTCAGCAGCTTGGCCGCTGCTCTTCATGCTGCCCGCAGAGCAGCTCAGAACGCCCGAGCCCAAACCGGACCAAAGCAGCAGCCTCGAAGCGTAGCCCCGAAGCCCGGCACTGTGTGACAGGGAAGCGGCAGCGCGGCAGATGTGCTCCGAGTCATCATGGCAAAGACAGGCTTGGGCAGCCAGGGGCTTGGTACAAAAGCCTCGGTCTCCAACCCCTCATGCCGTCCGGCTTGGTCATAGCTTCACGGGTCTGGACATGTCACAGCGTGGCAGCATGCAGACGAAGAGATGCAGGCATGAGACGAGCTATGGCCCAGTGGCCCAATACTACGGTTGCTGTAGTCAATTGAGAACTGCTGACCAGTACTTGTGAATGCTCAGGCGCGGACCAAGCGGGACAGGCACGCCAGCTTTGGGGAGTCACGAGAGCGATTGAAATTAAGCCTGTTTTCTGAAGAGCCTTCACTCACATTAGTGCTCCATCGTCATAACCATCATTTTGTCCTTACGGCAATTATTCATCAGCATTAGTACTACGGTCATTTTTGATTCGTAGTTCCATTTCAATACTGTCAAGATCAGTTTTGTACTTGATTATCATTGCGACTCAATACCAGCATTGCTGCCATAATTCAAGGGAGGACTTTGAAGTCACTAGGACTGATCTTTGTTCACGTTGCCAGCCGGCACTTACCTTCACATGTGCCATGCCACGGCAGCATGCACCAGCATGGGGAATTATCGTGTAGCACGTGAGTCAGGCTTGTCTTGGGCAGATCCTTGCCGCAGCGGAGAAATTCACCGTGTGTGCTGCGGGGGCCTAAAGTTAATGGCGAGGTGACAGCATGCTGTGGATGTCAAGCACGCCTTCACTTTCAGCTTCGTGGCTGCACCCGTGGGCACCTTGAGACCCTCCGTGCTCTCAGGAAGCACCCGTGGCTGCAGCTTGCGTGGTACAGTTCCTGCAGGACTCGGCAGCGGGCGGAGGCCAGATAATTTCATGCACTTTGAGTTGCTTTGAGGTCCCATGTAGACTCTGGGGTCGGGGGTGCTCGCGGCAGACGAGTAGGATCGGGCCAGGAGATAAGCAGATTTGAGCAATGGGAGTGGGCAAGGTGATGTATCGTTTGTTGCCGGAACCTACCGGTGGAATAGCATTTGGTCCAACCTTGACCAGGCTTGGGTGGCTGTGGTTCGTCGGCTTCGGCTGCCTCGGCGTCTGAGGGCACAGACAGTGTCTTTGCTTCCGGCTGAGTTGTGCTCGCCTCTACTACATTCTGACGCTGCGCAGTGCCCTTATGCTGCTGAGGTGAGCACCATCCATCAGGCCAAAGGACGTCAATTTCCGAGCCTGGAAGAATCTGGCCAGCCTGGCTGCGGGAAGGACTCGAGTGGCACACGGTTTTCGTCTTGCAGTGCAACGAGATGGTACTGCCACTGTGCACGTCTCGGGGAACGGGGGTCTTGCGACTCCCGAGGGCTGTGTGGCCCGAGGCAAGGTAGCTCTGAAGACGGCGGAGAAGAAGAGCGCCGGTCGGTGGACTCAGGAGGGCAAAACGTGCGGATTGTGAGCACGCACACCGCTAGATGCCCCTTGAACTTGTCTGCTGTGGAACGCAGGATGGCCCAAGCCTTCCATTTCATGTGAATCATGCTGCCGCAGCCATGAAACGTGGCAGCAAGGCAGGCTCCTCCAATGAGCCCTTCCAGGACGACAACCTAGGCGAGCCAGGCGAGGAGGAGGACGAGGAGGCACCTTTGTTGATTCAGGAGAAAGTACAGAAACCAAGCAACCTGAGCAACCTGGCATGGTTGAGTTCAGGATGTGGCCTCGGGCCATACATCCAACAGTTAGAGTCCAGCTTTGGCTACGAACTGCTGGTGATGCTTTTTGTAGCCCAGCACCTGATGAAGGGGTTTGTGAATGAGTTCACCAGTCCCTGCATCAACTTCCTTTATGGTGCTTACAGAGTACCCGGACCGCAGATGCAAGTTTATCGCGGGGTGACACACCTTCCGTGGGCCATGAAGCCGATGATTGGCTTGCTCAGTGATACCATGCCGATATTGGGCTACAACAAAGGCCCTTATATCCTTCTGGTGGCCGTCCTGGGATCTGCAGCCACCGCATGCATTGGCTCGGTGCCACAAAGCCAGCTGACGATCACAAGCCTGGTCTTCTGCCTTTTCCTCATCCAGCTGCAGCTCTCCACCACCGACCTGCTGACAGAAGCCAAGTATGCCGAGAAGATGCAGACGAAGCCAAGTGAAGGACCTGCTTTGATGTCCTTTGTATGGTTTGGCTTGCAGTGTGGAGGCCTTGTTGCCATGCTGATGGTCGGGCCAATCATGTCGCACTTCGGGCCCAAGCTTCCTTTCCTCGTGGTTCTGGTGCCCTCCAGCATCATCGTGGTGCCCTTGATGAAAAACTACCTCCAAGAGCGAAGGCTCACGGCGGATGATCTCAGAGCTGCACGTGCCTTGATCTTCCAGCAGAGGGAGGCCTGTGCTCTCTGCCTCCTTATGATGGCCTCCACCCTCTTGCTGACTGTCATCGGCACAACCCTGCAGAATGTCAAGGTCAATGCTATTGCCTCGGTGGTCGTGGCTGTTGTCATCATCTCGGCATTCAGTCTCCTCCTGCGACCGGAGATCGCCAAAGTGAATGCTTTCTTCTGCCTCCAAACTGCAGTGAACTTTTCGGTGGGTGGCGCTTCTTTCTACTTCTACACTGACAATGCAGAGCAGTATCCCGAGGGCCCTCACTTCTCCCAGGCCCGAGATGAGAACAGGCGGCTTTCTTGCAACAGCTCCCTTTTCGCTTCGTCTTCAGGTCTTTTACACCACCGTCCTCGGAGTCACAGGCTCGGTCTTCTCTTTGTTTGGCATCTATACCTACCAGTCCCCTTCCTGCATTCAGATTCTCGCCCCTCGGAATTGCTTTTGGCTTCCAACTGGCTCCCGGTTTGTTCACCGAGGAAATATGCCAGTGACTGGAGCTTTCGGCAGCTACTGCTGGTCAGCAATGTGGCGCTTTGTATCCTCAGTGTCACGGATGTGGTCTTCTTCTTGCGCCTCAACACGCGCATTGGTATCTCTGAGGGCATCAGGAATCATGCTTCGTGTGTGCCATTTGCAGGCTGCGGGGCGGGGGAGGGGAAAATAGAGGGACGCACATCGTTTCGTGGTCGGCCGGGGCTACACAGTCGTCACATTGACATGGGATTCAGCTCGACCAATCCTTGGCCGTTCAAGCAAAGCCTCAGGCAGAGCTGTACATTGAAGGGAGAGGGCGTGGTGGCGTTTCAAACCGCTCGGTGCCCGCTTGGCTCTTGAGTGCCGTGTTTGGTGAAAACCACAATTCAAAAAGTGTGGACAGTCCAAACCAGAGCGGTCGTGGAGGGCAGCTCCGACATCTCAGGCGGTTGTAGGACAACGGCCCCTGCATTCCGTTTTAGTTCGAGCATGGGCAGCCAACCAAACGCAGCACACGCCTTAAGCAACCCGAAGCCCCGAAGCTCCAGCCCGAAAGCTGCTTAATGCTCAGGTATTCCAGATCATGCCTTCATCCTGGGTAGCAGCGTCTTCGCCACGATCCTCAGCCAGTGGCAATGGATGCCCGGAGCTCACATCCTGTGATTCTGTCACTCGCCAATGAGTCGATTGTAGCGTCGGGAACAGAGCAAGGGATACCCAGAGCGCCTCTCAAGCAACTCTTGTCCCATGGAGCGGTTGGTCTATAGAGAGAGAGTCTCTAGGCTCAGATTTCAGGCCGGGAGTCGTCATCTTGTCGCAGCTTTGTCCTCCGGGCCTGGAGGCCGGGTCCCTGAAGCCTCAGCTCTTCGCGTGAATTGGCTTGCCGGCTGTGAGGCCACCATGTATGCCCTCCTGGCGGGATGCCACAACCTGGGAGGTGCGCCCAAAGTCGGGACAGGTTTTTCGCATTGAGGGTAACAGCCCGCGCCCCTGCAAGGCACAATCGCATCCTCCACCGGCGCATTTATGTTGGAGTTGTTGGAGGTGCTGTGGATGGGTTCAGAGGGCCATACATGCCAGCTGTGCCAGCTTTCACTTCCTGGAGGGAGTGCCATGCCTTCAGTCTGCGCGTCAGGTGCAGCCATCAGGTGCAAACAAGGAGTCGGATCAATTTCGGAGCCCTGGCATGGAGTTTCGAGAAATCCTGTCGGCAGAAGCTCCGGCCCGGTATCTGAGGAACCTCTGGGTCGCCTCCGCCATCTCCTCCGTGCTTCCAGCACTTGTGCTGCTGTCGGCCGCCCAAAATCGCTGTTGAAGCCCCGGGTCCTACAGTAGGGTCCTAGAGAAGAACATCCTCTCAGTCCCCAGGCTTCTGCCCTGGCTGATTCCAGATCGGAAGCAGACCGAGAAGTTGATGAAGGACTCGGCTCCCGCCGCGTTTTTTCCTAACAGTGCAGAGACTGAGACTCGCACCGGTCCAGCTGGAAAGGATGACGACGTGAGCGTCACGCGGGGCTCACTCTGGCGGCGCATCACTGGCCAAGAGTGAACCCTTTCGCCGACCTCGCTTGGGACTTGCAAAGGCTTGAAGGCAAGGTCCACCCTTGGACTCGCCTTGGCCCCCCAAGCCCGAAGGCAAGTGTGGTGTCAACTGCCCTGGTTGCAAGGGCACTCCTTCGCAGCCGGATGCAGCCGGTTATGCGCAATCTCTTAGAGCGCGATGATAAAGTCTCGTGATCGATGTTTCGAAACTGCAACTGCTACTGCCTGCCTGAGAGCGGTCTTGTGAAAAACAAATCAATTCAAAGGTTCGCACGGTCCTCACCTTGCCAAGCACAGATTTCTGCACGGGTGTGGCTGCCTTCGCGTTCTGCGGATCTCCTGTGCTGAGGCTGTTTTATGTCGCCATGACGCGGGCCAGGGACCATCTCGCATCTCGGATTGAATTGGCACTCAACTCCAAAAACTACTTTAACCTACCAAAACCTACTTTTTTGTAGGTTCTTATTATAAACCTTAATATGGAATTTATAGGGACCTGTGGAAATAGGAGCCCCTCTCCT